GTATCACACATTAACAGACGGCACAGGTCATTCACCTTGTACGCACTTTTGATAGACCTCTGAAACTTTTACGTCATATACCATATACACAATGCATTGTAGAATATTTTTGGGACAAAACATGGAGTAATCAAAATAAGTGAAAAAGCTTTAGAAGTCTATTGTTAATTGAAAACCCAATTTTAAAGTAATCCTACAACTAATCGTGTGACCATTGCTTTATCGCAGACTTCTCGCGAAGCAAAAGAATAAAGATAAGCAAGGGAAGAAGTCCAATCCTGAATGGCGTGAGGAGGAGTATGACTCTGATTTTCATCTCAGTGACGAAGATTCTGAGGACAGCGATAGCGAGGATTCTGGACTGTCCAGTGCAATGCTTGTTGTGGGTCCAAGTGGTTCMGGAAAAACTGCTACCGTTTACGCATGCGCAAAGGAGTTAGGATACAAGGTGGGTTTATGTTYGGTCGTCSATTGGTGGTTKTMCATGTTTGTCAAGAATTCACGTGCTTTAATTTTAATTACTGACGTGAAATTGGAAAATGCCCTACTAGATATCAGACGTGCACAGGGGTTGGGTTGTCCAGTTCGTTTTGTGATTTCAAGATTGAAGGAGGAGATTGACTGAAAGATTGCACGAGTTTTGTTTTGGATTCATGCCAAACAAACTGTTGGACTCTCCGAAAATGTTGTTACACAATCAGACTTTGTGCAAAATAGAAAGAGGGGCTCTGAAACCACCCCACGTGCACGCCCCTGGACATCCAACGCCAAATGCGTTACATTCGGGGTAACGAATGAGCTCTTTTTAAGAATTGTTAAAACAATTCTCCTCAAATATATAATGACTTAATGATAATATAATGAATATTAATTATAATATAATGAACCAATGACTTCAGAATTTCGTGCCTGACCTTGTGCTTTTGGTAGTCAATTTGAAAGAGCGACTTTTCACGATTATGGCAACCTCGAACTAACCCGCTCTCGCGTTGAAACTGTAATGTTAAACTCCAAAAAAGCAGATCACGTGATCTTTTCTGTCGTTTGCCGTGAACGTCATGCTAAACCTCTCTAATGTACACTGTCAAACGCCTGTTTTCCTCAATGTCTAATCCTTGGCAAATCAGAGCGTTTGGTTGACGGCGGGCTAGATTGACGCAAGCCCTACAACTCTACCTCTAACGCTCACGTTCTTTGACAAGACGCCTTCACGAAACCTCGTCTACCTTCCTGTTATTCTTCCCTTCATTAGCGCCTCCATTCCATCCAATCCAGCTTTACTTGGTCCTTCCTCACAAGACCAAATTTTAACTGATTTCTTCCCTCTTCTTTGTTCGCAGGTATTCGAAGTGAACTGCTCGTCCAAAAGATCCAGCAAACAGATTATTTCAAAGCTCGAGGAAGCCACGCAATCTCATCTTGTTGTGACCAACCCTACKGCAAACATCCCAAAAGCCTCTGCTTTTGGCGGCCTMTTCGCGAACGTTAGTAACAATTCCAAGGCAAGCTCACCATTAAACAGCTTTCCWGCCAAACCAAATAAGGATAATGATTCTAGAAGTGATGGGAAGAAAATATCCGGGAAGGAAAAGAATAGGAAGCCGGATGGGAAAGAAAAGAAAGAAAAGCGGACTGAACATTTGGTTGCTAATGATAGTGCTGCCAATCCTCGACTGGCGTCAAAAGCTGTTTCTTTAATTCTTTTTGAGGAGGTTAGTGAAATGTTCGTTTTCTACAACCGCCCTCTTGGTTTTTTTTTCTCATGACGCAAGCAATACTGCAAGAAGTTCAATAGTCTTATTTTTTAATGTATTTTTGCTCATACTTTGGACAGTTTTTTTCCATGAAATCTTTAAGGCATTAAAGGTTCCTCGTGCTTGAGAAAATGTTTGTAAATCAGACAGCGTCACCAGGGGTAACCTAGCATAGCGATTAGATTTTGTGTTCTAGTTTGGATACTAGAAAAGGCACTAAATAAGCCTTAATGACTTATTTAAGCATTTTACTTACGCATGCTATTTTGCGTTCAAGGTTGACCTTGTGTTTGAAGACGATAAAGGGTTTTGGTCAGCGGTAACATCCTTCATTAACAATGCCAAATGTCCGATTATAATGACAAGTAACGGTAAGAATATTACGTCATTAGCCTCATGCCTAGTCTACTCTCTAGAAGTGACGTCATGAATTGTACAACGAGAGTAGCCTTGGTTTACCAAGTGTTTACATGTACTTCTATGATTTTAATCATAATGTATGATACTAAAAATATTATCATCATTCGATAGAACTCTGAGGCCTTTTACGTTACTACTTCATTTGCAAGGCATTGTCCCGAACAGTTTTTCGAGAAAACAATGCCGCCATGTTCTTTCCCAAACACATTCTACAATGCATTGCTACAGTACATGACGTAAAAGCTTCAGAGGTCTTTTATACCCCCTAGTCGGCCCCAAAACTCGCGGAGGAGCGAGAAATCAAAAAATGAACCTAGGAATGTTCTAAGAAAATCAATCCTTGAAGAGGCAGGAGAATTAACGTCTAAATTTAAAAGAAACGATTTATTCAAAAAAGGGCTAAATTCTAATTCCTTTGGTATTTTTCGTGGGTTAGGGGCTCTGTTGACCGATACGTTATCCGTTGCCGAGAATTCTCCAATAGAACGGCTGCACACGAGAGTATACTCAAAGACCATTCACAGACATAAGTAATGTTTTTGTTCGCAAAACAACTTGTAACACAAGAAGATGGCATCTGTGTATCCCATAATGCATCTCGCCGAACATATCACGTGGTTAAACGAAATTGCTAATTGTTGTGTTTTGGGGTTTTTAATACTGTAGATTCCCATGTTGGTTGTGACGGTCGATACGAACAATTAGTCCTCAAGACTCCGTCTATTAACCTCTTATCAGCTCATCTACAACTCGCTGCTCTTGTAAACAACGTATTTGTTCATCCTAATGAGCTGAAAACTCTGGTGTCACTCTACAAATGCGACRTTAGGAAATGTTTACTGGTTTTACAGTTCTGGATCATGTCGGGCGCTGGAAAGAAGACAAAATGGAAGAAATTTTTAAAAGAAAATGCACATGAAAGTGGAGTAAAAATAGGTTCTTTTGTCAMCGTTAAGTCATCGCAAAGTTCAAAGGATTTAGYGACGCCTAAAGACACGACTTTAGCGGTTTTRRWTGACGGGGGCGARGAGAGCTTACTTCTAACGGCAGAGGACTGGAAGAGAATGACCACTAGAAATACCCGCACGTCTAAACGCACGACAATYGCCGAGGGAAAGGTAATATTTTACGATGTTTCAGAGAGAGTGATTACAAGAATCAGTAACTATTAATTAGTATTATGAACGCGGAGTTTCCGTTGTTCTGTGGAAGCCGAGAAACTAAGCTAGCAAATRGATACTAGTTGACTATTGTTCTCTACTTCTTGTAACTGACTGCAAGGGTTGAAAAAAACCTATTACAAATTATTTAATTTACAATATTTTGCTCGGACAAAATGGCCTTATACAAACTTTGTAAATTGATTTTACAAAATATTTACAATCTTGGCCGAGCAAAATTTTCAAGATATTTGCAGAATGTACATACAATTTACAACTTTGTAAAAGGACATTCTGTTTGTAAATTGAATTTACAGTATTATTTWCAAACTCTTCAAAGTAATCAACTTTTACAGTGTATTGCGCAACAACATTGAGCGTTTTAAYATCTAGTAGATATAGGATGTTAGAGATTCGCGTGCGCTTTCAAAAATATTGCAATTCTTAGTTTTCAGTTAACGTCACAGCGGCCATCTTGGAGGAACTTTAACAAAGGATTTCTCATTAGTATCTATTGTTCATTCCTCCAACATGGCCGCCGGTCTCTTATCTTTTGAATCTCATGGGAATGGGTGAAAACGATCAATCAACCTTTTCTGAAATACAAAATCATAGCGCATTGGTGTAGGTTCAGCATAAACAACGCCATATTTGGCAGCATGGATAAAAGATGTTTGTAATGAACCTAAACCACACTGCATTGCAAATTACTATCTCAGAATAGGCCTATGGCAATAGCAATTGTTTAATGCAACCTTCATGTCTTTAGGATGATGATTCAGACTTCGAAGCACAAAAGGTGTGTACACCAGCTGTAGACGAGAATACTCACACCGACTCCATTTTGGCTGAATGTAGTGAAAGYAGATCGATACAGRTTGTAGACGATGATGACAAGAACCTTGTCATGCCAGGCGTGGACTGTAAGTTGGTAGAGCATACTCTAGGACTACTAAACACTACACTGGCCTACAAAAACGSCTCCGTGGATCTACTCGAGTACAAAAATGATGTCTCCAAGGTACGTTCTCGAAATGGATAGTGTGGGTTTGGTTGGGGAGGGGGGCACTAAACAAGAAGTTTCTAGTCTGCAGGGCTCTTAAAATGCTATGAAACAGTTAAAAATAACACATTTGGATGTGATGTTTTAAAGCATTACTTTAAATTTTAAAGCACGGAACCTATCAGAGAAAGTATTTTGTCGGTTCAAGATGGCGGACGCATTAGTGTAAAGGTCTTTTGATATGAAAGTTGTCTCACGTAGGCTCCCTGCCTCGTAAAAAAACAATCTTCTATTAGTTTCTTGACGACAAATTCCACATTTTATCATCCAGGATGCGTAGCGATCATGTGTTTTTAAAGTCCCTTGTTTTTAATTGTTTAGTTTTTAGTTTAGTCATACAAGCTTTGATGCTTGAGTTGCCTGTAGTGATTTACCCGCATAAATTATATTTCTTGCTTCCTTTAAAGCTGAGCAAGTTTATAAAGGCTTGTTTAGTATAATTCTCAATAATAAGGAATTATAACGAGGTGCGAAAAGCATCCAGGGTGTAACTGGGCCTTTCACAATTAATTTTTTTTATAACTAGTTTTTTGCTCATGTAATATTACAAATGTTTTTTCCATTGATTGGTAGAAATTGAGTTTGGAGTTTTTTTCTATTTTTAAAAATTAAAAAATTAAAAAAAATTAAAAAATTAAGGAAAAAATAAAAAAAAATATAAAATTTAAAAATTGTTCCGCCATTTTACGAATCTGCCAATAAAACAACAATACAAAAACCTATGTAATTCAAGATGGCTGCCATTTTGATAAAGAATTGGTTAAAAAAGCTGTTTCACTTTTCATTACAGATGAGTCCACTAAGAGCTAAACAGAGACTGGCAGAATATGCTCAGTCACTTGGTGTTAATCTAATCAATAACAACCTGCCATCGTTATTACCAACTCTATACACAAAGCCCTCGACCAATCAAAGCTCGAGCTCAGTTGCCAAGGCAATACCTCAACCAATCAAGACCAAAGRCGAAGAGAGTTTAGATAGCAGCGTGTTTGATGATGGAAGTGAATCAAATCAAGGGGACAGTAACCAAGCAACGGGAACTATGGAAACGAAAGAATCAATTGGTACCGAGGAATGCGATTCAAATAGTGACAAAAGTGATAAAAAAGAAGACGGTAATTATTTGAAGTGATCTTTCATCTCGTCAAGTTGTGCAAGTTTACTGGGTTGATTAGCTGATTTGTTCCCTCCATTTTTCGAGCATGCGCGGCTCGTGAGAGAGGCCGTATAATTGTCCTGACTTAGACCTCTCAATATTGGAGTACTTGTAGTCGTTACCATTGCTGTAGCGATTATTAACTGATTATTTATTAATGATTCATCCTAATCATCTATAGCTTATGGTGCCTCGCTAGCACATAAGGTCTTCATAGATATTTTCTACCATTTCCTATTAGCTGGCACAGCCCTTGCATCGTCGCAAGACCGCAAATCTGCTTCCTCCTTCTCAATCTCCATATAATTAATGATTAGATAATTAATATTATAATATGTGATATTGATATCATACATAATAGTTAATATTTTAAATTTGTCTTTTCAGACACATCAAAACGTCTCCAAAAAAAGACATTAGACATTTTTACCGCCATCGCCGAAGATTTATCGTTCATAGACGCGTTTACAGCAAACACAGGCCTTAACGAGTATCAACCAGCGGAATRTGGATGGTGGCATGCGCGAGCATCATCAGGATTGAGTGATGATGTATCTACTCTCAACAGAACGTCATGTGACTGGTGGACACGTGATAGTAGTGCGTCCATTCGTGGTGCCCTAGAAGCTGCAAGTTTAAACTGTACATATCTTCGTTATCGATCTCTTGTGGAAGAAGGTTTGCCATCTAATGTACAAGATTGCTTACCTGTGCAGGAACTAAGTTCTGTGGTGAACGTGACCGGGCTGACGGACGTTCARTYAGGGTAAGTCTATGTATCTATGTGTTCTTTGAAAAGTTCTCTTGGACCCCCTTCAACTATAATTCCTGAATAGGCATGACAAAGTGGAACACAATAATAAACGTTTCATATTGAATTTTGCTTGCACARCAATACTCCATGTTACAGTTCCTCTATTGTTTTTAGGAAAGTCTCTTCTACAAACAAACTTTACAGAACCGTTAACTCATCGCTTCCTTTAGCTACTTTCTGTACCCGACGCTCGACGTGTACCGAGTACCTCCCGACTCTCAGGTCGATCTGTCACTCGGAAAGACTTCGTGAAGTAGGAAACACAAAACGAAGGTAAAGTTGGGTGTTGTTTGATAACGTTTGATAAGTTTAAAGCCTGGTTTTCACTACGACTTAAACCTAAGCCTAATGCTAAGCACAAGCCTGAACTCAAACATAACAATAAATGTCGTGTGAAAACGAAACACAAGCGAAAGAACGCACAGCAAGAAACAATCCTAGTGCCAGGTCTTACATTGTGTGTAACGGCCAATATGGCGACCTCCTGCAATGCGCTTGCAAGACTGGCACTAGTATTTTCATTAATCGAGACACTACGTCTACGTTTTCACTTTGTGTTTCGTTTTTACTGACGTAGCACACAAGTGAGAGCAAACGCAGCCCAAAACTTAAGCRCAARAGAAGGAAACATTTTGATCATTGTTTTTTGGTTTGTGTTTGGTCGCTTTTCACGTTGTTTATGAGCCTTACGCACTTGCGCGCTTAAAATTGGACTTAGGTTTAAGTCGTAGTGAAAACCAGGCTTAATATTTAAGATGTTTAGGTTTAGTAGTTCAGTAGATTTAGTCAAAACGAAAACTAATAGAAGACATAAGAACTTTGCCTCTAGTTTACACACAAATAAATCATTATAAGTCGCCATAAATAATCCTCAGTCATTCGTATGAAGACGGTAATGTGTAAAGGTCGCTCATCCTTCTTCCATATATGGATGTACATATACAGGGACTCTAAATAACGTAGTATAGAAGGCCTCTCGTGTACACATTGAAGCTTCATTAATCGGTTATGTAAACAAGCTTATGTACATACAGGTGGTTATGCCAGAATGTAATCATAAAAATACCGCAAAAAATCGGATTCGATCGGTTTCCTGTTTCAAAACCAGCTACCGAGGACCTACATCGTTCCATCACGTGACCGGAAGCTCAATACATTGTCAAAGACTAGTTTTTCTCCGCGCCTCTTATTCAAGATCAACTTAAACTTTTTTTTCATGACACCCCTTCCCTCGACCTCGCTCCTATGAGAGACGTCACTATATGCAAGACGTCACTATATGCAAGACGTCACTATATGCAAGACGTCACTATATGTTAAGTAGGTTTAAAAATAGTGTTGGACTTCATTTCATAGTCAGAGTAATCGTTATTCACCTGCCGGCCAACACCGCCAAACAAACTTCTGACATAAAAAAACGAATAAACTGCATTTTATTATTTGTAAAGCATTCCTCTGAGTACAAGTTGTTATTAGGGTTGTATTCCGTATAGATACATGATTCAAGCTAATTTGCTTGACAAAGAAAATGGATATAGGGTCAAGAAGATTGTACGCGATTTTTTTGTCTTTGGGAATGAGTATGCGGCAAAAGAAGCTTCCACTCAAACAGAAGCGAACCTTTCGAACAACTATGAACAAGAGGGAAGTCCTGGTGAACGTGCTGAGGGATTGACGAGGACCCAGTCTACTGATAAAATTACTGAAACTTTTCAAGTGTCAAAAGGTGATCATCAGTGCACAAATGTTAATCCAAGATTGACAAGTATCAATATTGATGAGAGCACTGAAACAATACCATTGCTCCGATCAGGACTCCAACAAAACGCCTAAGTAAATGCCACTGTTTTTAGCTCTTAACTAAAGGGGAGCGATGTGGACAGAGTTGTTCAATGTTGGTATAAAATACTCATTGAAAAAAATAACATTAAAAACAAAACTTAATTTCAAAAAAAAAAAAGAAACTGACGTGCATAAACTTGCTGTACTAAGGTGTGATCACTCNAGAAGGAAACATTTTGATCATTGTTTTTTGGTTTGTGTTTGGTCGCTTTTCACGTTGTTTATGAGCCTTACGCACTTGCGCGCTTAAAATTGGACTTAGGTTTAAGTCGTAGTGAAAACCAGGCTTAATATTTAAGATGTTTAGGTTTAGTAGTTCAGTAGATTTAGTCAAAACGAAAACTAATAGAAGACATAAGAACTTTGCCTCTAGTTTACACACAAATAAATCATTATAAGTCGCCATAAATAATCCTCAGTCATTCGTATGAAGACGGTAATGTGTAAAGGTCGCTCATCCTTCTTCCATATATGGATGTACATATACAGGGACTCTAAATAACGTAGTATAGAAGGCCTCTCGTGTACACATTGAAGCTTCATTAATCGGTTATGTAAACAAGCTTATGTACATACAGGTGGTTATGCCAGAATGTAATCATAAAAATACCGCAAAAAATCGGATTCGATCGGTTTCCTGTTTCAAAACCAGCTACCGAGGACCATCACGTGACCGGAAGCTCAATACATTGTCAAAGACTAGTTTTTCTCCGCGCCTCTCATTAACCTTTCATTCAAGATCAACTTAAACTTTTTTACCATGACACCCCTTCCCTCGGCCTCCCTCCTATGAGAGACGTCACTATATATACATGTAAAGTAGTCAGAGTCATGAGTCAGAGTAATCGTTATTCACCTGCCGGCCAACATCGCCAAGCAAACTTCTGACATAAAAAAGAACGAATAAACTGCATTTTGTGCTTACATTTTATTATTTGTGCAGCATTCTTCTGAGTACAAGTCATTAGGGTTGTATTCCGTATAGATACATATATTCAAGCTAAATCTAATTCTGCACCATGTAAGTTTTTTAACGTAACGTACGTGCGACAGCAGGTTCAGCTCTCGATTGCATTGATCTGTAACATAACTTCGGGAGCAACTCCTTGGTGTCAAGTTTATTCAGTTGTGTTGTTCCAGAAAAAATCAATAAACTCCGTTTTAGCAAATGAACGCTTGACATCATGTTTTCACAGCTATCGCTTATGTCAACTTTCTTTGTTATTAAGTTATTACTTAAGTAACAATGCGCGTAAGAAGCAGGCAAATCTCTACTGTTCTGCAGCAATTGCAACTTCCCCACATACGAATGTCTTGGTTTTCACACTGATTATATATCAACCTATGGGTAACACATTTTTAAAATAAAATGTGGATAAACTCTGTTTTGAAACAAAGTTTCTTTTGTATTAAAAGATCTTGTCCAATCATAAGCACTAAAATCAATAGCCAAAATTGCTTCTAATTTGCTATGTTCCCCACATAGAATTGCTATTAATATTGAAGCTAAGGAAAGCTTTTATGAAGTCGAAATCAGATATTAAATAAAATATTAAAAAATGCGCTCACGGTCACGGTCACGGAATCACGCCAAATAAGAATAAAGATTTAACAATACATCACCGCTACGGCACGGTACGGTCACAGCGCGAAAGTACCGTGTTTTTTGAACAGTCATACGAAATACGCCCTATCTTTTCCTTCTTGAGCGAGCCTGATGACACAGAACCATCGATCGTTTGTTTCGAAAAGATCGCTATAAATCAGTGACCGTCGCGTCAGTGAAAACTAAACTCTTAGTTCTTTACTCTTTTCAGTCTTTTTAATGTAATTCAGTTCACAGCTTCTACTTTATGAACTAACTACAATTGCTTGTTACATAGCTTGATATACAATTTACAGAATTAGACAAAACCCAAATAAAAATTTGATACTAACTAAAACAATAACCAATTATGGAATAACTCCATACTGAGGGGAATTCTCCGCTCAGGACGACATTGGCTTATTCTGCAAGTATTGATCACGTGAATAAATCTAAACTGCGCTATAAATTTAAACTAAACTTATTGCTTATAAAAATACGATAATAATGATATTTTAACAGTGTTCGACGTATGTATTGCTAAGATATAACATCGCCAAGTATGCGATTGAGTAATGCAACAGTTGCCTGATTGTTATATGAACTTTTCTGATGACGACAGAAGATGTTACTTAGTTATTAAAGCAGCGTTGGCGATGAATTTCATTTTCTTTTATCTGAAAATGATAAAAAAAGTTTGTTAGACTATGTAAAAACGTTTTAGCAGATTTAGCAGAGGAGGATCTCCTCTACTAACTCCGGTGAATAGCATGTAGATAACACTGGTGAAAAACACACTGCGCATGTCCACAGCTTTCCCCGCCACTGACAATCTCGTACCCAGAGCCGTCGTTCCTCTTGGTCAGCGCCGAGAAACGAGGGCTCTGGCATATTCTGTAGCGTTCATGAGTCGCCGGTGGCGGAAAGAGGCCTTGTGGTTGGCTTAGCTGCTATCAACGCATCGCCTAGACAAACAGAAAAGATCAAGAAATCCATATGCGAGATCTTTAAAGCAGAAGGCTTGACAATAACCATCGAGGCCAACAAGTCCACAGTGAACTTCCTAGACGTCACCTTCAATCTCCAAGACAGCTCTTACAGGCCCTATACCAAACCTAATGCCAACCTGCTGTACGTCCACAAGGACAGTAACCANGTTTTTTTGTCATATAAAAGCCAAGTAGCATATAACATTTACTAACGATATTCGTACATCAATACGCTTGAGCTTCCGGTCATGTAATAACACTGCTAACACAATAGTTAATTATTAAATTCTTAACTTCCGGTGGTCCAAACGCGACATAATACATACCAGACGAAAAGGTAAAACTAAAGTCGGACCCGCCTTCGGCTAGTCCGACTAATAAACTCCTGAAGATTGAGGCTTTGCCTCATGAAACAGGCCTGTAGAGGTTTGACGAGTTTTATTCATAAACTCTCTAAATATATATATTGTATATATCTGTCTTTTTCGAAATTAAAGATACACTTATCTCTGGCTTGATCTTGTTCTTGGTGGTACATAATGGCTAGCCTGATGTTGTTGTTGTTGGAAGGACAGCGATGAAGGCAAGTCCGTACTCTCGGCGTACTCGAGCCCAACCTTCCAACCTTTTCCTTCGCTCACTGGTGGGAAAGCTGTGGACATGCGCAGTGCGTTTTTCGTCAGTGTCCAGTGTCCATGTAGATATCAATATGAATTCGAAATCTCCCTAACCCCCTTGGGGATTTCAGGGCATTCTAGTTTGAATATCAGTTGTCAGTAAAACTAGACCCTGACAGCAGGGTGTACTCGTGCCCTAAAGGTGTTGAAAAGCTGCTGTCTTATTCAGTACTTTTTCAA